ACGAAGAGTCTGTTAGCAAACACAAATGACTCTTATTTTGCCGTACCTAACACTCTGATCTCAGCACACAATCCCTGGGTTCCAATTGCCAATCCCACCAATCAACCAAGATACATCTGTAGGGGAGAGGTGATTGGTACGATACACGATCCAGAAGACTTTTTTGAGACCCCGAGTTCAGCTGAACACACAGAAGCTCTGTACAAACACGCTGCAGCCATTAAAGTGGTCATCGCAACCCAAATGGAGTCGGAAAGCGGAACGAACCACGCCATGCCAGACATAGTCAATCAGCAGGTTCCTACATTTTACAAGGCTAATAGCTTGTTCAAGGTGGGTGACTGAAGTGCTGAGTACCGTATTTTACATCTTGCAATTGATTTGTTTTCGTGGCCTTTATTGATTTGATTTGTTTTAAGTTCTTCAAGCCAATTTAGAGACGTGCAGGCAGGCTCAATTGATCCAAGGCAAGTTACTTGGCATCTCCTCAAGCTGACAAGGTTCATTAATTAGTTCCTCGGGGTTTGCCAGTCTGAAAGATTGCATTTGCAAGTGCCGTTTGCACTGTGTCAAATTTAGAGGCTTCAATCGCAATTCAAAGGCATCTATGCTTTGAAGTATCTGAGATGTCCATAACCGAGTCGTCATCATTCACATGGAGGTTCGTATGAGCAGTTGGACTATGAGTAGAGTCGAGGCTGGTGCCCGTGTGGGAATGACCGCTCCAGACAATGTCAGTGATTGCGACAACATCTTGCGGAGATGTGCCCCATGTAACGGTAGGAATGATATCGGATGTGGGGAAGTCAACTTCAACGAAGACCAGAATTTATATTCGCCGGCAATTTGGTAACAGCCCTAAGTCTTATGATAGGATTTGACTGTTCGCTGAGAGACTTTGACAGCTCTTCGCACAGCCAATATTGTAGTCTGGAACCTGCCTAGAAGTGAACCACTTTCTTTCTTTGCAATGATCCATGCAATCGATTCAGCCATTCGGCCTGGCGTTCCTGTCGAAGACTTTCTCTCTTTGGCTTCCCTCTGTGATTGCGGTCTTCTCACATCCCGTAGGGCTTTCTCCTTGCACAAATGCCAGACTTGTCCACACCGTGCGTACTGCTGCTTCTACTAATTCAAACTGCCTAACATTATATCATAGGCCACGGTCAAATCATGCCCCAGCTTACTCTGGCAGAAGTTCTGACCGGGATTGACTCTATTCTGAAACCTGGTGTCCCTGTCAAAGAATTCTTACATGTCGTTGCGCAATGTGCTTGCGGCATGCTTGTCAATTCTTTGCGCATGCTTGCCAAGCATCCTGAAGGATTTGGTGGCAGTGAGTGCAGTTGAGTTGTGTAGCTTTCAAGTTGGTATAGACCGAATACACTGAATATTATCTTTGATCAACAAACCCACCAATGATGATAGATAAGTTCCGAGTCAACACCCTTTATGAATCAAAGCACAAAAACTACTACTAGAGTCTACCGCATCGTAATAATACAAGGTATCATAAGTCAACGTCACAGTGATCGGAGGGCTCCTTGAAGAAAAGTGAGTCCCAAAACCTATCAGCTGAGTGTATAACAAAGAACTTGCCCTAAGTTTGAATGATTCGGTTGAGAAGTTGCACTTCCAAGTTCGCCTTCTGTAAAACTTGGCGCCTTTGTCAGTTTTGAGAGATCTCCCACTCATCTCCTTTCAGAGAAAGGGGGCGATTGCGAAGACAATTGAAGGTGGCTCTGGCACCGATCCGAGTAAACCGTGAAGTTTTTGCCCTGAAATGTAGCGAGGAACGAGTGAAGGATCAGGGCATGGGCGTGTGACAGTGTAGGTAGAAATCACTCACTCTTTTTCAACCACAACAGTCGCCGGCCCTCTTCCTTTTCCCCACCCACCACTTCTTGAAAACTCTATCGGCATCAGCGTGACAAGCTCCCGCTCGCTTCCCACACGGGAGGACTCCTCCACTCCAGAGCAAGACACAGAGTGCGTGGGTGAGTTTATCCCACCCACCCTCGTGTTTTGCCCTCAGGTTGGATCATTCTGTCGCTCACTACACAAATCATATCTCTCTGTGTGTGCAAGGACATTACTGCTACTCTACCTACCTAATTACTTGTCTCCCCACGCACGTAATGTGCTTGCCCATACCCTAGAGGCCCTCAGCCTGATACAAAGACACGCTTCGATAGAGCGTTCCTTGGCGTATATGGGACTCACAGCCAATACATCCATGGAGATCAAGATTGACAAGGTCTTCATTAGTTTATCTATGAACAGTCATACAGAAGATCTTCGATCTACCGCCAAAAGTGTACTTGCTGCTAGGCCTGATGCTGGTGTCGTTGCCATAATTGTTCCAGGACCTGGCCTTATCAAGTAACACGCAGAGGTGGCACCTCTCCGCCATCTAATGGGGCGGCCTATCGTCGAGCTCCTCATACTGGTTGCTGCAACTGTCTGACTTAAGCCGACGTTCATCAGTATCCTAAGCATTCGCGCATGGCAAGATTGCACGGCAGGAGAGAGTGCAGGAATTGAAACCCTTTGGAAGGACTCGATTTTTTGAGCAAAGGACCCACTTTGGTGGCTCGACTTCCACAATCGACGCATCCCGGGCCGCGTCCACTTCGGCCACATCCAATCCTCCTACCAGCATCCCATCCAAGTCCCATCTCCCCCTCGCTATCATCAAACACCCACCTCCTTTGCCCGCTTTCCCTCAGACTGATGAGTCAGATGCATTTACTGCACTTCATGCTCAACATCCTCGGATTAAGCTCCTCATTTGCACTTGCACCTGCTACGTCACTTGCTCCATAAACTTCATATGGAACTTCCACTGGACCATCACGCGTCACCTTTGTGACTTTCGTTGTGGATTTCCAAAGCAAAATACTCTGCTCTTGAACTTCAAGTTCTGCAGGTTTCGTAATAGCAAGTCAGAAGTTAAGGCCTTAAGATCCTAATCTGCTCTTGTTGGAAACCCTCGGCATTGATTGGCACACCCAGATATCATATGGCTGAAGCCAAAAGAGTACAAACACTGACAAGTGTGCATGCCTCAGCTGGTCACCTTACTACGGAATGGATGACCTGGTGCTTGAAGCTATCTATCATAATGTCTTCCTCGGTCACTGGCAACTCTCGACTTTTTGACTCTTTAGTAGCCTCTTTTTCCCTTTACGATTGTTGCAGTATTATTCAGCGCCCTGGATAGCCTCGCAAGTTGAAGAATCCCGATGAACAATGTTCGTGTGCTCTCTTTCTTATCATCATCTTTAACTTCAACAATTAAAATTTTAATTTACTTAGGCTGTGCTAGCGGCAGTTCTGAACTGCTCTTCCTGGCGGTTTCGAACTGGAAACTGACAGGAGGCTTGACTTGGAGTCGATGCAGCAAACTTTTGGTCGCCGCAGTACGTCAGATAAACAAGATGTCGCTCATTGCAGTCGGAGAGACGTCACCCTTTGCTCAAGTACCATCATCCTCTTCTTTTGCCAATATCAGTCTCAAATGTTCCCCCGACTGGATCGTCAATTCAAAACTAGAAGTCCACATATCATCGTTTA